TAAATGTTATATTCCAACAGAAAATCCTATGGTAATATATTCCAATGGAAATTCCAACGGATATTCCAATGGAAAAGCTTCCGTTGGAATAGTTCCAACAGAAATTCCAACAGAAATTCCAACGGAAATATTCCGTTGGAATGTGTTTTTCATTGGAATTTTAGATGGAATTTGATGATTCCAACGGCTATAATTCCAACGGCTTTATACCGTAGGAATTTCCGTTGGAATATGCAAATTCCGTTGGAATTTTTTTTCACCCCCGTTGGAAAATCTACCGTTGGAATCGTCAAAATCCAACGGAAATTCCAATGGAAAACCCATTCCAACGGAATATTTTCGTTGGAATTTCCGTTGGAATCCATTGAAAAATTCCAACGGAAATAATAGTATTGAAATATCCATTGGAATTGCCGTTGGAATAATTCTTTGAAATATATTTCCGTTGGAATTTCATCATTTTCTTATAGTAGTAGTTATATGATATAAGTTATAAAAATTACTATAATATAATACATGTAAGTCGCACAAGTAACAAGTGTCATTCTAAAATGTATAATAATATATATTTTCTGTAAAAAATAAATAAAATTTAAGACAATGTTTTTCAATAATTTTAGAAATTTAAGAATAATTTTTTAACAAACACGCGTGTAATACACGTGTGTTGTACTAGTTTTGATTTAAATGTAATTATTTTTAACATTGCAAATTTTCTTCCACACACTTGATTGAGAAGAGGACATTTCTTCTGGCTTTTCATTTTGGGTGGGAAAAATTCTAAAGTTTATGACAAATTTCCAGTGTCATAGAGAACGACGACCCTATTTACACTTGTAAGGGGAAAATCTTATAAAGAAAGATTTTTGTTGAATTTGTCAATCACAATTTCACTATAAAAATGAAATGTAACATTTTTTAACACGTGATACTTTCAATGACAATAGTCCAAAAGCCGAATAAGACAACCAAGAGCTGAATATAGTGAAAGGACAGGTCCAGAGAGTCATATAGAACCTACATTAGAACAAACGCAACCCTAAACACAGAAAAACTAACAAACTCCACAACTCGAGAATAAAAACCACCATACGGGAGAGAAATCCCAAAAACATAAAAACCAAAAAGCAGTAGAAAAACACAAAAACACGAATCCCACAACACAACACTACAAACCCACTCCCGCAACGCCAAGGGAGTGTTCAGACCTCCACCCCGAATGGCAATCAAGAATGGATCGAGACCACCCTGGGTCAATCGTCCAACACCTTTAGCGCCAAAAGACGGGCCTAGGCAAACAAAAATCCAACAATAACAAACTACACAAAAATCAAACCAAAAGAGAGCCCTCCTCCCCGACAGGCTTGAAACTCCACATCTGCCCCGCCACCAACCGCCGAGAGAGACCACATGCACGAACAGAAGACCAAGACAAAGCACCGAACCTGAAACTGTAGAATTCCTAACAAGATATGACACCCCAACACCGAAAAACTCTCCAAGGTAGTAAACCCTCACACAAGCAAGCCCGAGGCTAGCCCAACTCACCCCCCCTCAACAGCCAGCAGCCAGAGGCCGGCAAACCACCAGAGCCAACGACCAACACCACCAAGATAGCCAAGATCCAACCCCAAGTAACGTCGAGAAAGTAGGTGTGTTGGATTTGGTGCTCTTGTGTCTCCAAAGATGGTGGAAGCTATACATGGACTAATCTCATGCTTATGTCCGCTGTGTCTAAGTCGCTGTGACGTTTCTTTTGTATTCTCTTTTATTTTCTTTTAGTAAAACGGTACCGTTTTGCTTCTGTTTGGATTTGTTGCTTATTTCTGCATACGGCGTCGTCTCACTTAAGTTGAACGAAGCCCTTTAGGTCGTCTTCCTCTTTTTTTGTGTTACATGGATAAATAGAACTACTGTACGTTGTTTTCGTTTGGTTTTTGATGAAATGAAATGATCAGAGAAAATCCCAAAATTTCGTTTTCGCCATTTTTTGTTTTTCGGATTTTTCAAGGTGGGAGCAGAGCACCGGCCAACCCCAATCTCCAAGCACCTCACCAACCACCGACAACCCAGGATGACCTATCACACGAGTTATGACCTCCACCACTGGCACCAACCGAACACCCCACCCCAGGGGAGCAAGAGAACAGAGGGAAAAAAGGGACTAACCCCTGCTCTGACTCCGCCAGGCAGAGTTCAGAGCAAAATGACCGACCAAACCGTCGAATGCCGGAACCAGCTCGTGCATGAAGATTTCGCCCGGAGACGAAGACGTGGCCCAACAAGACTCCACCCAGATGAGAAGCACACCACTCTACAGGAAACTAGACGCTCATGACAAGCGGTGGAGTGGAGTGCCCCACCAAGGAGGAGGTCGAACTGTTAGTGTTATATACTGAAAGCTTGAATTTGGATGATATTACACCCTCTATGAATGAGAAACATGCTAGATTAAACAAGTTCTACGTTTTGTTGTTTTGCATTAGATAGTGTGGGTCGTCATCGGGCGAACCGAAGATCATGCTACCAGTTACTCGCGAAACAAAATAAATGGTTCACAACCCAGATAGACATGAACACCCCATCGTGAACGGGTGCAGTGTCAAACGCACAGTTTGTCTTTGCGTTTGTCTTGACTGATTAGTTGCACTAGTACATTTATGTATTGAACAGGATCCCAGAGAGGAGCAGTTTGTTTTATACTGATCGTCGTAAACGAACTAGGCCTCGGTTAATTACT